GCTTTCATAGCCACTAGAACGATCGTCTACTCAGAGCGACTCATATGATGCTCAGACTCGCGATGCATCATAGACTCTATTACGTAGTAAAGACGATACACGAGAGATATGGCAACATTGCCTCCGATAATTAGTCGGTGATTATTGGTCAGGCTTACCCCCAGAATAGGAGTTTGGCTTGTCTGCCTGCTTGGTGGGGCGCTTTCGGCTACGTGCCGAGTCGGCCTGGGGATGCTCCGTTGAGCTCGAGTTGGGCTTAACCGATAGATCGTGTGCGTACCTGCACCTATCACCCCACGTACATGTACCTCTTGCGAAGTTTCTACAGGGCTCGGGCCGCTGCGAGTCGCGACCTCTACTGCCATTCGCGGCAGGAGCTCTCATGTGGTTGGCGGAACGCAGTGAAGAACTGACGACTTCGGCGAGTAGTGCCGGATTGGTGTCGGTCAGAAAGCACTGGCGCAATGAGAGTTGGGCATTGGCAGCCATGACAGCTGCCACCCCGCGACGATAGCGGTCGTCGTAGACGAGAGTGGTCACCAAAGGCATAGACCTCGCCAGGGTTAGGATACATGCGCCGTAGGCTAGGATGTCGACCGGAGAGAGAACCTTCGGGTCTACTGTGCCAGCAACGAGTAGAGCGAACCGTAGCAAGCATGAGGACCATTCCGCACTAGAATTCGGGTACTTACCTTTCATCACCGGGCTCGTAGAGAGACCACCATAAGACTGTCTTTCCTGCTTGAAGTCGGGCAGACCCTCACTAGGCAACTCCGGCTTCTCCATGATATCCTTGAACGGTACATAGCAGCCATTCTTCGTATTGCTGACGGCGGTGATGACCGAGGAAGAGATTCCGTAGAAGAGGCTTGGTGGAAGGGGAGAGTGGTAGTTCTTGATCGAATGGTTGATTATAGCCTCAACTTGCACCGTCGACCTTTGGGTGATAGCGTCGGATTCGGCATGAAGTTTACGCCTCTTGCGGATTATGGCGCCTACTTCCTCAGCCAAGGACTCAAGTGTGGCGGCCGCGGCGATAGAGAGACCATTAGTTACCCTTGTCATGGAAGTCGAGGACAACGAGCCGACCAGCTGCGGGGAAGTCAGGCCATTGCTCCCCAAGGAGTGGATGACT